CTTTATGTCCTCCAATTTCACATGTCTTTTTGTAGCAGAACTGGTGTTTTTCTGAAATTCCAGTACCACTGATTACTTGGATGTGCTTTCCGGTCAGAGGGGTGACTGGAGCGGTTACTACTGAATGTTCTGCACCGCTCTCCACCCTAAAGGACATGTTCTGGCCCCCTATCTTTATATCAACCATACGCTCGTGGGGGCCTAGCTGCACTGAGCCCGGTCTGTGTCAGTCACTGTCCTCCACCACAGGCAACAAGGTGCCAGTATCCTTCCTTTCCTTCAAGTCCTGTTTTTTCTTTTCCTTGAGCCTTGGGCGCTTATTCTTATAATGTCCTTTCTCTTGACAATACGCACACTGGTCAGACTCTTAAGTCTTCACGCCTAAAGCCCTTCTTCTTTCCCTCCAGGTTCATTCCCTGTCTTTCTTTCTCTTTCTCTTCCTTGGCTCCCACAGCCACTGCTCTGTATCTGGCCCTCCTCTTACCTCGCTCATCTTCCTTCCTTGCTCACTCTCTCTCACCAACTCTCTGTTCACATACACTTTCCTAGCCAATTGCAACAATTATGTTATATTAATACCTTCCCGTTTCTTGCTTTTGAATTTTCCTTCTAATATCTGGAGCTGACTGGGTCACAAATGTCATATTGATTAACTGATGGTTATCAGGAACAGCAGGATCAAAAGGTGTATACATTCTATAAACTTTGCAGAGCCGCTCATAAAATCTCTCAGGGCTCTCATCAGGCTCCTGCTGTGTTTCTAGCACGTTAATCATATTTGTAGGCCTTTTACTCGCAACTCTTATCCCTGCCAGGAGGGCTATCCGATAATTGCTTAAGCTGTCCTGGCCTCCTGGGGTATTGGGGTTTCAATTGGACCGCTCGTTCACTGGAAATTGCTGTTAATGTCAAGCATCTGGATTTTGTGTGCCTGCTGGCATTCTAGGAACATTGGTCCTTTTAATTTCTCCTAAAACTCTCTGCATTTCTTTAAAGGTTAACAAAGTTTTACAAAGTTCTTTACAGTCCTCCCAATTAGGACAATGAGTAGTAAAGATGGAAGCAAATAATTGAAGCATTTTGGAGCGGTCTTGGCAGAGAATAAATGACTTTTTCTCTGGACCTAGCCTCCTTTGTCCCTTTTTTAAAGTCAAATCTCATATATGGCACCTTGATCTGACATATTTGTATCTTTTCCCAACAGTCTTTTTTTCTAACTCACTATAAAGGAGGAGGTCATATTGTAACCTGTTAGCTCTTAAGCTCTTTGAAGATGACCAATGTACACATATTATAGTAACATACTTAGAATTTAACCCTTTGATGACAAGTAATGTAAACATATTTAAACTTTTCATAACAAACTTGAAACCAACAAACATACATATTTTCTTGATAAATCACTTTCGCACATCTTTTGACATACCTAAGCCTTCTTGTCTAGTATATCCCTCTTTATCTTTCTAACAAGACAAACATGCAAAAAAAAAAATTTTCTCTGATTTACTACAGACCTTTTAGCTGTTAACATTTTAAAGTGTCCCCTTTTTTGTTCTCAGATTGTTACACTTTAAATTTGGTTGGCTGCCAATAGAACGGTAGTAACCTTGAGATTTTATTAGTGAAGTACAGAAAAGAGCAAGTTAACCCTATAATTACAATTGAAGAATTTGCAATGTACAATAAATATTTTAAGCACACTAAATATCAACTCAAACTGAAACACAGATACATTTATCAATTAGCTAAAATCTGTAACTTGATTTGTAAAATTTCTTTATGTCTAGCACAGTTATACTTTCTTTGGCTTTATTTTATGCTCTTCAGAGCTTTCTTAGCTGTTTTCAATCCATTGCTTATTTTTTCTTTTCAGTTTTTTTTTCCAATTTGAGTGTAAGCCCTGTTTGATCTTCTCTGAGTCTGACCACAGCACGCACCCTGTGGTGCACTAAAGTCAAGCAGTTCTCATGCTTTCTTCCCCACCTCCTCCATACCTGTGGATTTAGCAACACAAAAGGAGGGGGAAAGTCTAAATTCTCTTGGTCTGGATCTGAAAAGACTGGTTTATTTCCAGCATGGTCCTCGTTCTGATGGAGAACCAGGATATTGTTTTTTTGCTTCCAGGGTGCACATATGAAGCCAAGGAGGCATTCTGTGGCACAATTTGAGCCATAAATCAATATAGGGAAATTGATCTGGATGTTCCCATCCAGGGGCCGTGACTGTTAGCCAGACAGACCAGACAAGACCCTCACCTAGGGATCTCTCCGGTGGCCAAGCTGGGCAAAGCTTGGGCCATTCTAACTCACAAAAGGTTCTAAGTTTTGGGGGTTTCATCTTAATACCATAATCTCCAGTAAAACCTTTCTTAAAATTCTTAAGCATGCATTCCAAAACAGTAGGACGAGATGTTCCTGTCCCCACGATCGGCCAATCAGTGTTGGTGTGTGTATGGGTGCCCTTGTACGGAGACACAAGACAAACAAAGGAGGGGGATCACTCGCTCACCTGCCTGGCTGTGGGCCTCTTGGCCACTTTTAGGTCCATCCAGGCCAAGGTGGGCTGTCGCATAAGCTCACCGTTGTGCCTTTTTTATTTTTATTTTATTTATTTATGTATTTAGTACTGGGGATCAAACTCAGGTCCTTGCGCTTGCAAGGCAGGTGGCAGAACCATTGAGGTAAATCCCTGGCCCGTTGTGCCTTTTTAAAACACGAGCACAGAATCGAGGGGCAGACTGCACACAAATTCTGCAACTCAGGGAGGACTCTTTAAGCACAAGCGCCTCCTCCCTCTGTCTAGTTCCACAGCTCATTCCACTCGCTCTCCTATCCAGAACTCTTTCACTCACACATTCATTCAGAAGTTATCACATTCCCTCCCAGTGACCCCCTTAGCCTAACCAAAACAAATGAAAGAAGCAACCTCCCCAAATGGCAAAGCGCAAGGGCTGACTGGGCCCCTGCACTATTTTTGCCCAAAGTTCACAAAGTGAACCAAAACAAGTGGGAGGAGCTATCTTCCCAAATAGCAAAGCACAAGAGGGGAGTAGGACCCTGGGCTCTATTTACCCAAAGTTACAAAATACAAATTCACAAAGTGAAACCAAAGTAAAACCAAAAGTTAACAACTAGGGGGTTTCCTGGGGTTTCTCACCCACCAAAGGAAAGAGACAGATGAGACACCAACAGCAGCAACTCTCCTTCTGTCGTCCTCCATCTTGGATTTGGACAATCCGCAACCGGGCAAGCGGGTCTCTGTGTCTTGTTGAGCAGCCTAGGAAATTAGTCCCAGGGGCGCACCGTTCCCCTCAAGGAGGCAGAGAGCTGCTCCCTCTGGTGGGGTTCGGGCTGATGCCCAAAAGGGCCACTTCTTTCCCAATTCCTGGTCAGGGATCCAAATGTTTTGGAATCATGGAAAGAAATTCCACAGCACTCTCAAGTGTCTGGACAGGAACAGCCTCAGACACATGAAGAGTCACAAGAATCATCACCCATACATTATAAAATGCAAACATGGACTCATCACTTTTGAAAAAAATGACTTGAAACCTAACTCCGGTGGCCAAGAAGAGACTGTAAATTAAGAATGAAGATCTGGAGATTTGGGCAGCAAAGCTCAAGAATCCAGTTTAAACCTTGGTATTAGGAGACTGCCCAGGTCAGAGGGGACCCCGGCCAGCTACCCCTCACCTGAAGCTCCTCCTCACCGGAAGCTCCACCTCAACGGAAGCTCCACCTCACCGGAAGTTCCCCGCCACCTCCTTACCGGAAGCAGCTGTCAGGTGTCCCCTGTGATTTCACTGTTGGTCTCAGTACTTGAACAGCGCCTGCAGCTGTACCCAGTGACAGGTTTGGGACAACCCTAAGATTAGAAGCCACAGGTTTTAGGGCCGGGGATTTAGCTCAGTGGTTTCGCTGCCTGCTGCGCAAGTGCAAGGACCGGAGTTCGATCCCCGGTACCAAAAAAATAAAAATAAAAACAAACAAAAAGAAGACGGAGCAATATGTTAAAGACTTTCTCTGGGTAGTATACTTCCAGGTCATTTTGCTTGGGTTTTCTGTATTTTCAAAATTTTTAGTAGAATAAATTATCTTTACAATGATAATTTTAATCCACATACACAATACCCACCAATAACTACTATGCAAATGAGTAAATGCACAGGGAAAAGACTAGATGGAAATGAACCAAAAGGTGGCCTTTCGCCATTCATCCTTCCTTTGTTCATGCACTCAACAGGTACCTGGAGAGCACCTAGTACCATGCATGGTGCTGGGCACTGCCCACACCCAGATGTGGGGCACTATCTCCAGGGAATCTTTAGTATTTTCTTTCTTCTCTTTCATACTTTTCAAAAGTTTCATTGTGAATGTTTTTACTTTAAAGATGGTGGGGGAGTGTATTTATTTCCAAAAGATTCTGATATAGTTCAGAAAGGAGTTGTGTACCTGTTTTCACAGATAAGTTTTTATGATAGTCACATAATTTTAAAGTACATCATTCAGCTGGGAGTGGTAGTACACACCTGTAAATCCTAGCACTCGGGAGGTTGCAGGAGGATCGCAATTGAGTTCAAGACCACCCTGGGCTACATAGTTCAAGGCCAGCCTAGACTACATAGTAAGACCCTGTCTCAAAATTCCAAAATAAATAAATAAATAGCTGCTATTCTCCAGGAAGCTTTCCCCTGCCCCTTGTAAAATTCATTTCTTTTGCAAAATTCACATCTGCCTATCTTTTTGTTTAGTTTTGTTTTTTGCGGGGTTTTTTGGTACCAGGGATTGAACTCGGGTCCTTGTCCTTGAGGGGCAGGCAACAGAACCACTGAACTAAATCCCTGGCCCCACATCTGCCTGTCTTTTTTTTGTTTTGTTTTTTGTTTTCGTACCAGGGATAGAACTCAGGACCTTGCGCTTGCAAGGCAGGCAGCAGCACCACTGAGCAAAATCCTTGGCCCTGCCTATCTTAATATAAGTAATGCATACTTTTTGAAAAGCCAGTTTTTAAAATAAATTTATTTAGTACATTATTTAAATATCATAGGATAAAGGTGTTTTCCTATACCAAGTGTTTTGGAGTAATAAAAATATAAAAAATATACAATGTAAAGTAAATCTGAATTTACATAAATCAATTCCTAGACCATGTCATTTTGTGAATGAGATTTCTCTTTTTCCTTCTTTTTCTTCTGTTTTTCTTCTGCTTGTTTTTCAAAATAATCTTTGAGGAGACTATTCAGCTGTGGCTCACACTGGCTGGCATGCTGCACCCCATCTTCCCTCCCTGAAAAGACACAAACTGTGAGACAACTGTCCTTCACTGTACAGGGGTCCCCACATTATCACGTCGGTCTCCCCCGCCCCAGAGTGACAAATCCAGAGCAACTGCTGCCCAAGCCACCCCCAAGTCAGTCTTAATCCAAATGCGTGACATACTGCCCATCTTCAGTTCACCTTCACAGTGCTGGATCACACGCCCCCACAGGCCATTTCTCCTCAGACAGGCTAAATTTCCCACAATCAGCAGATGCCTCCGGCCTCGGGTCAATGCAACATTCACTCGTGTTTCTGAGTCAATGAACCCTACGTGTCTCGTCCTGACGCAGGACAGAATAATGATCTCCTTCTCTGCCCCCTGGAAAGCGTCCACTGTGGACACCTGCACAGTTTTCAAATCAGGGTGGCCAAAGTCCGCAGCACTGAGGGAGTGACAGAGCTGTGGAGGAAGAGGACAGAGGTCACCCAGTGCATGTGCCTCAAAGAACCTGGGCCTGTGACCTCATGGCCACTGCCATCATTACCTAACAGAGGGCCATTGTTCACTGCTGTCTCATGACTCTGCATACTGGGCTAGGTAGCTCCTAAATGATGAATGGCCAGGTGACAATATTAATTATGAAATAAAATCAAAAGTGATGATTTACTGATTGCTGGGGAACTCTTTTGAGTATGCTAATTTACAGCTGATAAGCTAAAATGAAAATGAAAAAATACTAAAAGAACAATACTAAGAGAACTGCTTAGAAGTGATTGGCTCGGGTGTACATTAGTATCTGGTATCCATCCTTGATTTACTGATAAAATGTAATAAAAATGAAAGAACATTTTGGAAAACAGATTCAATCCCATCTTTCCCCAAACACAAAGCATACACCATATTTTCTTCCCTTTAATTTGTTTATTTGCATTTTTGCTCTAACAGCTGTAAACTGAATTTAATTAAGCCTTGTTAGGTTTACATTTAATTATGCAGAAAAAAAGCCAGACCAGGAAAAAAAAGTTTCTTTTTTAGTAATATATAGTCCCAAAAGTTTTTCAAGCACCAACCAAACTACTATGGATGTAATATCAAATATTGTAATCTATAATTTAATATGAGAAAATGTCTTAATCTGGGATGCAAACCTTGTACATCTGTGATTTGTATAACGTTATCACCCCAATCATTGAGCCCTCAATGCCACTTGCGATCAGTGATTGAATCAGCTTGAGTGTAAAGGAAGCTTCGGCCACATTATGAAAGCTGTTTTCTCTTCCAATCTGGAATGAAAACAGACCCTAAATTATATTTCCCAGAAAAGTTACAGAAGGACCAGGCAAATTCATTCAAACAACAACAATAAAATTAAACAGGATGCGAGGCCGCTCTGGCGACCATAACACTGCTGCTGTCACCTGCTCCTGGCCTATAACATTATAGAAACACAGGGTGGGCAGCCAGGCCACTAAGGGTCCCCTCTCCACTTCCGACACGCCGTCCCTCAGGTCTCCTCCGTAGAACAGATCATTAGCGATGGCACTGATGGTGGGGTGACAGCGGTACTGAGTTCTCAACGGGACTGGCTTGTGACCCTGAGAGTAAAACGCAAAGAAGTAAGCAACTAAAACATACCTTTTTTCTCTAGAAAAAGAAAAATATTTCAAAATTTAATTATTACTATAAATTAATTACAACCAAGATAAAATAGACGACAAAACCATTTTCAAAGAAATTACTAAAAAATATGTTCATGATACACTATTACATTATAAAACTACAAAATATAACATAGCAAATCTTTGGCTGATTAGCTAATAAGCTTGGCCCCTAACAGTATGCCTTTATAATCTATCTGGAATTGTCCTAATACTAAATTTTAAAAGATCTTTTAAAAAATCAGAAAGCATTACTGGTAACTTATTTATTAACTTTCTTCCCTGTGTAAAGTCATTTTTTTTGTTCTGAATCTTCAGAGAAGTTTCCAATTTCATTCAAGCATCCTAACATCCAAGATTCATCTGCTTTAGCAATCTTCTGGAATATGTTCTTTATTTGGGAAAAGTTCTATAGTGCTGTAAGAACAATGACTGGCTACAAGGAACTCTAATAGTAATACATACATGATTAAATGCAAGATGAATGATCACATGGATGAAATATCTTGCATACATTTTTGTACACTAATATGTATCTATAAATATATTATCCCATGTGCTTTTTAAATTCACATAAGTAGAATTTTACTGCAAGTATCCTGTTGTACTTTGTTTCTGTCAATATCTACTGTATTTTTGAGAATTATTTATATAAAGTTAATTCATCTTAAATATGGTATATTATTCTAGCCTTTATTTTCCCTTTTAAAATTCTGACAATTAAAAATGCACTTCACTTTTTAAATTTCTACAAAATACAATTAAGCCAGATATGGTGGCACATGCCCATAATCCCAGCACTTAGGAGGCTGAGACAGGAAGATTTTGAGGCCAGCCTGGGCTACATAGTGAGTTCAAGGCCAGCCTGGATTATACAGCCAGACCCTGCCTCAAAAAACATAAATAAATATCACATTTACAAAGATATCAAAAATAGATAAGTGATAAGGACAGAGCAGCATGCATTGTACATTACCATTTGTTCAAATGAGGGGAAGATATTGCATGTGTTTGTCTACACTGGCTTAAAATATTACTAGGAAGATGCTCCTGGGAGAACAGCACTGGGGCCAAAAGTAGACCCTTCAGTCTCCAGCTCGGCTCCTCTTGAATTTTGAACCATGACTATACTGCTACTCAAAAATGGTTTAAAGATTTGAATTTTTAATGAAGGTTTTTAAAAAGCTTCTGAAAAAGTCAGATTCAAAAGGGGCTGGATATTGACTCATCATGGGAAGGATAAGAAGTTTTTCAATTCCAATGAAAAGCTGAAGACCATGTAAAGATTGGTTCTCTAAAAAGCTGACTACAACTTAGCTCAGAACTCAGTGAAACCTAAAACCCAAGGAATGGGGAACTTGTGAATTAGGAAAGCACAATACAGTGGGATTTCACAATCCTCTCCCTAGTAGCTAAAGAAACAACAACAAAAATACTAAAAACAGGGCTGGGGAGTTAGCTCAGTGGTTCTGCTGCCTGCCTCACAAGTGCAAGGTCCTGAGTTCGATCCCCAGTACCAAAAAGCAAGAAAGAAAACTGGATATCTACCTGCAAAAGAATGAAGCTGGGCTCTGACCCTACAGCATATATACAAAAGTTAAAACACATCAAATACCTAAATTGAAGAGCTAAAATTACAAAACTCTTACAAGAAAACACTGAGGAAAATGTTACGGATTTGGCAACACTTTGGTGGGTATGACACCAAAAGCATAAGCAACACACACCAAAAAGTACAGATAAAAAGGATTTCATCAGTATTAAGAACTTTGGTGCATCCAGGGATATTACCAGGAAACTAAAGGAGCTCAGGGGTAGAGTGCTTATCTCACATGCATAGGATGCTGTGTTCAATCCCAGCACTCCCAAAAACAAGACAAAAGTGAGAAGACAACCCATGGAATGAAAATAACATTTTACAAATTATGTATCTGATAAAGAATTAATATCCAGAACATAGAAAGAACTCTTACACGTCAACAACAATGAAGCCAAGTGAAAAACAGGCAAAGGCTTGAATGGCATTTCTTCCAAGAAGATGCAAATGGCCAGAAGGCACACAGTGTTCAACATCATTATTTTCTAGGAAGACATGCAATAATACACTCATTAGCGTCACCACCGCAAAAATAAAAATAGAAGGGCCAGGGATTTAGCTCAGTGGAATTCTGCCTGCCTTGCAAGCACAAGGTCTTGAGTTTGATCCTGGTACCAAAAAAAATTAAAGCAGAAAATAACAAGTGTAGTGAGAATGGAGAGAGAGCAGAACCTTCATGCATTACTTTTGGGAATGTAAATGGTGTGGCTGCTACAGAAGCCTGGCGGTTCCTTAAAAGGTTAAACAGAATTACTGTGTGACCTAGGAATTAATTCTGAATCTATAGTCAAGATCTAAAAGCAGAGATTCAAACAGGTATTTGTCTACCAGTGATTATAACAGCATTATTCACAATAACCAAAAGGTAAAAACAATCCAAATATCTATATATTCTATAGAAATATACATAGGAGTGAAATTCTGACACATGCTACAACATGGACGAACTCTGAAAACATTCTGCTGAGTAAATAAGCCAGACACATAATAACATATATGGTTATGGTATTCACTTATACAAGGCATCTAGCATAGGTAAACCAGAGGTATCAGAGGCAGGAAGGAGGAATGGGGAATGACTTTAACTAGTACAAGCCTTCTGTTCAGAATGAATTAAAAGCTGTGGAAATAGATGGTGTTACTTGTACAACCCTGCAAATGTTCTTTAGGAAAAAATAAGTAATATAGTATAGATCTCAGATGGTGACTCTCAAAAATGTCATGCTAAGTAAAAGAATCCAGACACAAATTTTATGACTGCATTTATATGAAAATCCAGGATGGGGCCGGGGATTTAGCTCAGTGGTTTTGCCGCCTACTGCGCAAGTGCAAGGACCCGAGTTCGATCTCCAGTACCAAAAAAAGGAAAGAAAAGAAAACCCAGAATGGATAAATCCATAGGCAGAATGCAGACTGGGGTTGCTGAGAGCCAGAGAGAAGAGTGCCAGGGAAGAACTGCTAAGTGGTACAAGGGCTAACTTTTCAGGGAACTAGGCCAAGACAGTGGTTGCACAGCACTGTGAATGTACTAAATGCCACTGAATGTTCACTTTAGATAATGATTATTTGAATCTCATATGTTTTAAGATACATTAATAATTCCTTTTCCATGTCTAAAAATGTGAAGCAGTGCTCTGAACAGCTAACAGAAGCAACATAGGTTTCCTGGCTTTTAAAACAAAAGCAATATACTCCCTACCTGTTCATGAAGTACTGGTGAAAATTCTTTTCATAAAGCCCTGCTAAAACTGTAGTATTCTAGTTATCTTTAAGATGAGTACTGTCTTAAAAAATCCAGTTGTTAAGTGCTTAAGAACAAAGATTAAGTTTTCTGAGGTTTTCTCTCCCTACCACCCACACAGAATGTAAGCCACAAATGATGGCCCTGTAGGAACTCAGCAGTGCATACCATTAAGCAAAGCCGGTCAAAAAGAGTCTGTTCCAGTCCATTTTCATGAGCTGCCTCAGAACCCTGAATCGTAGGAGGCAGCTGTTTGGGGTCTCCAACAAGAATCAGCTTCTCACACTCAAACCTGAAGACAAAACTTCAAAAATTAAGTTAAGCAACGAAAAAAGGACATATTGATACCATTTATTGTGCTTTGCAAAATGTACTCAAAGACTTCAAATCCCATGAAGTGTCCTGAAAACAAACAAGGCTGGATAGTGCTGGTGAAAATCTTTCACGTAATTTTTTTCCACAAGAAACCCATTCAGTATCACCTCCCTCTGCATGGAATTAGGATTTCATGGAACACACATAGGAAACATTTATTTTTAAGATCCATAAAGTCTTTAGGAGAAGTTTGTAAATTCATTTGGCTTAAACTCTTGTTTTAAAGCTGGGGTAAATTAGGTTCTCAGGGACTAAATGTCTTTCTAAACACAAGTAAGACATAGCGGGGGGAAGTCCAAATGTTGTAGACAGACCTGCATCCAAACCTCAACTCTACCCTAAGCTGTGGCCACAGCGAGTCCTGCTGTCTTTCCATGCCTTTCTTTTCTTTCTCGTTCTTAGCATCAGCGGGTGAGAATCGATGGATGAAGCGTTTCGGCGTGGCAGGGGCTGTTGGCTCCCTCACCTCCACCCAGGGTCACTCACACACACACACACACACACACACACACACACACACACACACACACCAGCTCTCCTGGCTGCAGTGACCGACTCATCCTGCCTCATGCATGACTGCCCCAGTCTAAAAACGCTAAGCCCCCCCACAGAAGAGCTTCCCAAGTCCTGGGCAAACCTGCTCCCTCATGAACCGGGCGAGCAAGGCCTACTGCGTCCCACTCGGGGGTCTCGCACTGCCCGGCGCTGAGGACGGAATCCAGGGCCCCGCCTGCTGCACACTCTACCTCGGTGACCTCTCCCCAGGGCTGCTCAGGGGCTTCTGTTGGCAGGGACAGCTTAGAAATCCCAGCGTTTTCTAAAGTTTAGGAGGCAAATTTTAATTTTCAACTTTTTTCTTTATATATTTTATATTCTTTCATAATTTAAAAACGTTTTCAGAACCTGAATATTCAGATTGCATCAAAGTAAGGGAACTGAAGAAAAGTCTTCGTTGGAGCAAGCGCTCAAATTATGACTCAAGAGGAGGCTTTTGGCCAGCTGTGGAATCTTCGTGTCCCAGCTCTAGGGCTCCCACCGAGCTAAAGATTATGTGATTTAAATGTCTAAATAGTAATCTAACGGAATTCTCATGCACTTCCTTCAAAAAGTAACCCTCTCTATTACCAAAATACCAGTTTCAGTACTTGACTTGCTAAGATCTCTGGCAAGTCTGAAAAGCGCGGAGTCGGGACAGGCTTGAGACAGTTCGCGAACGCGGTACCGTGCGATGGCAAGCAGCGAGGTAGGCTCGGTCATCTGGCTGCACTCGTCCAGCACGACCACCGGGAAGGTCAGGCCGTCCATGCAGGGGAGCGAACAAGCTGCACAGGTCACACCCACCACGCGGACCTGCGGGACGGGAGGACGCAGAGGAAGCCGGCGGACCTCACGGCTCCGGACACAGAAACGCTTGGTCACCGAACCTCCATTTTCATTATCCCCACACACGAGCCAGACACCCTGCAACACGCTACGGGAAGCTCACTGCCAAGAGCAAATACAAGGTCCATTTTGATATTCAGTCGGGAAGTAGGCTAACGCTGACTTACGGAGCATCCGTGACGACGTGTATTAGTACAACGTGCAGGCGGGGAAGGAAGAACGCGGGAAGGAGCTGCCCTTGGCTTACATCCTCGCACACACCACTGTTGGGCTTATTTAAGAAGGGAAAGGTGGCTAATTCCAAGCAATGTAAATTAAAAATACACCTGGACCCTTTAATACACTGGAATCTTGTAAGTTTTTTTTTAAATTTTAATATGCTTTTAATGTCAACTTCTTTTTATTTTTTCTTTATTAAATTCTTTTATTGGTACATTGTAGGTATAGAACACAATTACATTTCTCATTGGGAATTGTACCTTTACATAATGCATCTTGGTTCTTATTTTTTTGTAAGTTTTAAATATTACAATAGAATGCCATTATTTTCCAAGCAAAAAGCCCCAAAAGCAAACATTTTACTGTAATCTCCAAAATTAAATACAAATAAGAAAAAAAATCTGTTATTTTGGGTGGGGCTGGGGTGAACGCTGGCCAGTGCTCTGCCCAAGCCTCGGCCCCACTATGAAGTCAGTGGATGCAGTCACGGCCTGGGGCCTGCTGGCTGTGCACACGCACCTACACACAGATGTGTGTAGGAACACATATTCCCTTCTATTAATCTGAATATAGTTATATTTTTTGTTAGCAAGGGCAATTCATACAAACTGATCATCTCTTTATCAAATGTGTTTGACAAAAATATGCTTTACAGGTCAAATATTGCCTCCAGATCCTATGAAACAAGAAAGTTCTCTAAGTACTTTATTTTCTTAATAAGAAATACATTCATCACACATAATACCTTTGTCAGTTAGGTTGTCCCTCATTCATTAAAAAGAAAATTAAAAATCCTACAGCCACATTTATTTAGAAATTCCACAGTATGTAAACATTCAGTTCTTTAAAAATATTCAATCCTTGGGCTGGGGATTTAGCTCAGTGGTTTCGCTGCCTGCTGCACAAGAGCAAGGACCCGAGTTCGATCCCCAGTACCAAAAGAAAATTTTTTAATTAAATAATAAAATATTCAATCCTTGTAGCTTACACATTGCTGTTGGTACCACTCTTAAATATCATGTGTTATCTAATTTCTGGCAACTATATCTAACAAAAACAACCTTAGAAAGAGAGCTGAAATTTATAAATCAAGAAATATTTTTAAACTGAAATACCTAATACGAAAACCTAAAGAACTAAATTTCTTCTTTAAAAAATTATATTACTTTTACTTTTTAGAATTTATTTTTATACTGCTGAGACACTTAATAAGAGAAGACTTTCTTTCTGACCTGGGAGTAGTAAATACTTAACTATGCTATATTTTTAAAATTCAGCTTTATTGTAAAGACTTGTCACTCTAAAACTGTGTCAGGTCTGATTCCTTGATTGGACTGGGAATTTTTTTTTAACATTCGTACAAACTTCTGCTTTGATTTCTTTAAGTTTAGGGGATGGATATAAATCATATATTATATATGTATGACACATATGTGACATGTTAACTATTTTTTAATAAATTTTACCTTATTTTATCCCATTCCCCCCAAGTTCCCTCCTTTCCCTATGTAAAGAAACTTTGTTTCCATTTTTTCCCTTCTATTTTCACTTTTTTTCTTGTCACTTCCTCCTCCCTTGTTCCCTTTCCCATTGAACAGTTTCTTCCCATTACCCAATTCCCAACGTGGGCTGGGAATTTGTTAGCAAAAAGCTTTTTAAAAATTTTTATAGAGTGCAGTACTATTCAGCCATAAAAAATGAGAAATTAGAGACATTTATTGCTAAATGGATGCACATTGAGGCGATACTCTTAAGTGAAATAAATAGAACACACATGTGTAAATACCAAAGAGTTTCTCTACTGTGAGAAACTGAAAGTATAAATAAGGACTAAAAGGTATAATAGGTCATGTGAAATAGGAAGAAAAGGGGCAAAGGGGAAGGGGAAGTGGGAGGGGTAGGGGAAAGGAAAGAGGGGAATGGAATTAATATGAGAAAATGGAAAACTGGAAACAAAGTCTTTGTAGATAGGGAGGGCAGGGAAGGGGGAAAAATAAGAACCAAGAGAGAGTATGTAAAGGTGCAAATTTCCAATGATGAATGTCATTATTCTGCATGCTTAAAATGTACCAATAATATTAATTTTTAAAAGAAGAAAAACCATTTTCTCACAATGAAAATATTTCTTCACAAATGAAATAGTTTTCATTTGTGAATAGGTGATGCCAATAAGCAACAGATTATTGTAAGTGGGTTTCATTTAGAGACTTGTCGAAGAACCATTCTTATACTGCATTTGTTCTTGCATACCATTATTGTGTCAGGTAAATGGATTACATGGTAAGTAGTTCACACACACGGCTAATCTGTACTCACTCAACATAGCCAATTGAAGCTCTTCCAGAGAAGATGGAACAGAGTTCCCTCTATGACTCAGATCACAGAAATCAGTCTAGCCCTCCAAGGACTTCTAGAGCCATGACCTGTTGTATACTGATTATTCCCAATTCCCCTCACTCCCCATGAGATTATTTCTGCACATTCACACAGTTTGCCTGTGATTCTTCAGTGATGTAGGGTAAGTGTGATGTTGGGCATGGCTGCATGAGCTGAAATAGCAAACAGAAGGTAGTGGAGATGATGCAAACCCAAGATTTCAATCATGTGGTCTGGCCTGTATTTGTGTACTTCTGCCATCTGTCAGGGGAAGATCACCATGAACAGGGAATTGTTCTAAGAGACTCGACCTTAACCTAAATCTGAGCCACAGTTGATCTGTGGAGTCACAGTTATTGTCTCATTTAAAGTACTGAGATTTCATCTGTTACACAGCATTATTTCAGCAATCGCTGACCAATGCAGGCTCCTGAGCAGGCCGGCTTCCCCAAGTCTCTGTCTCTCTCTCTCTTTTTTTTGGTACCAGGAATCGAACTCAGGATCTTGTGCTTGCCAGGCAGGTGCGGCACTGCTGAGCTACATCCCGGCTCTCCCCAAGTATCTTGCCAGACATTCACAGTTTCCGTATAGTTCAAAAAGACAACAACCATCGTTCTCTGTGCTCTCCTTCACTGCGGGAGGGAACCTCTGTGACTCATTCTCCCCTCCTTGCTGACACCCACTCTGGCTGGATGAGGAGCAGATCAAGAGGTGACACGCTCTGTGACCCTGTGTGACCACCCTGGCCCCAAGTGTCTGTGCCCCCAGATTCCTGCACACAGACAGCCGGGACGCTGCTTTCTGGGAAGCATCAAAGACAAATTCTACTTTGATAATATGCCCAGGATCAGAACTTCCTCTCTATTGCTCAAGCTTGCCAGAAATCTGCTCCAAGCCCCTCATTTCCCCTTCACACCTATACAGAGATATGCAAATTGGGAGGAGGAGAAAGAGTGACACAGGCATAGTGAGCAAGAATACTGTGCAGAGACCACACACACACTGGGAAGACGCCATCCATGCACGCACCTCGCTGTCTAAGCCGACACAATTGCTTTATGAAAGAAAATATTCCTCCACTGAGAAAAATGAGGAGGACCTGAGTAATGCACAAGTAGGAGCGCACACTCAGCCAGCGCCTCACCTGCCTCAGCAGGGCCCTGGTGGCGCCCAGCTTGTGCTGCTCCATGCTCCTCCTCACATGCACTCTCTCTGCTGGGGTCAGGTCCTCTTTCATGAATGCCTGGAGCTCCTTCAGTTGCTCCTTTTCATTCTCTGAGCCAGCATGCAGGCTAGGAAAGAAAAGGAGAGGATGGGGCCGGGCATTTAGCTCCATGGTGCCTCAAAAGCACAAGGTCCCAAGTTCGATCCCCGGTACCAAAAAAAAAAGAGAGAGAGAATTACATAAAAGAATACTCCAGGGCTGAGGAGTTAGCTCAGTGGTGCCACTGCCTGCCTCGCAAGTGCAAGGTCCTGAGTTCAATCCCCAGTACAAAAAAACAAACAACAAAAAAGAATACTCCTCTCTATTTTATTCTCCATGAATCACAAAAGAGCAAAATACAGATTCCATTTTTTTTTTTCCAATACCAAGCATCAAACTCAGGACCTTGGGCTTGCGAAACAGATCTTTTTCTTTTTTTAACAGTAGCAAAGTTTATTTGAAAAAGTAAAAGTGAAGAGAAGGGGGAAACTGGCTCTGTAGAGAAATCTTGGGCCAAGGAAAAGAGGAAAAAGCAAGAGAAAAAAACAAGAGAAAAGCACACGCTGGAGGACACAGCGCGGGCTTCCCGAGGAAAGTCATGGTGGCCTACAGATTACATTTTCTAAGTCAGATTTTCTAAGATAAAGCACCCTCTTCTTACTCACTAGACTTAAGGGAAGAACTACACAAAATTATCATACTTCCCCATGTTTGAGAATTTGGCAGTCTTACCTATAAGGCAAAATTGGCTTGGCGATCTTCCTAATGCTCCCAACCCTGACAAACTTTTCAAATCCAAGACTGAGAAGCCTTCAAAGAAATCAAGATAAAATAGATCCTGTTTATTTATCAAATAGTTTCTTGTAATATTTATTAAAATTAATTTTATATAGTGGTACATTTAGAGTTACATAACTCAATGTGCAAGTTTTACACTCAAAGTAAATGCATTGTAGTTGCAAGATCATCTTTATATAACATATTTTATAGAGATTTTTAAATAATTTTTGGTAAATTGTACATATATTTATCCATGGTTTGTCTGGGATGTAGCTCAGGAGTTGAGCACTCACTTAATATTCATGAGGCTCTGAGTTAGATCTGAAAAAAAAACCCAAACCAAAACAAATACCCATGCTCCTCCCTTTCCCCTCAAGGAGAGTGTGCTGTCCTGCCCATTACAACAAGAATGCATTGTCTGCTCAAATGTACACAGAAACAGTCCTGCAGTGCACAGAAAGGCCTGAGTCCAGCCTCCAAAGACTGAGGTCCTTTTCAGAGATTTAAACATCAAGGAATCTTTTAAAAATGTTTCCAACTGGGCCGGGGATTTAGCTCAGCAGTACCACACCTGACTTGCAAACCCAAGGACCTGATTTTGATCCCAGTACTGAGAAAAAAAGTTTCCAATTGCCTCTTAGTAATCTGGACTTATCTACCATCTCCCTTCTAGATTTATGTTTGGTTTGGTTTGATTTTTTGAGGCAGGGTCTCACTTTGTAGTTCAGGCTGGCCTTGAACTCACTGTGTAGCCCAGGCTGCCCTTGAACTCATGGTGATCCTCCTGCCTCAGCTTCCTGAGTGCTGGCATTATAGGAGTGGGCCACTGTGCCCGGTTTAACTTCTGGATTTTTTTTGTGTTCTAAGAGTCTACTATTAAATCTTAATTTCAGGGCCAGAGATTTAGCTCAGTGGTTCTGCTGCCTGCCTCAAAAGCACAAGGTCCCAAGTTTGATTCCTGCTACCAAAAAAGAAAAAAATCTTCATTTCAGGCTAAACAATCCCAGGTTCTTTTCTGGTCAGTCCCCAGGCAACTCCTTGTTGTCCTGGATCAAAAAGCTGTCCTCAGCCACTCTTCCAAGTTTCCCCTAAGAGTGCAGGCAGCACAGCAGAGCCTTTCAGAAGGGCAGTTCTGCAGTATATATTAAGAAGCTTAAAGATGTCCTGATGTTGTATTCTTGGATCAGAACTTTTTCCTAAGGGAAATCAGGGATGGGAATAAAGACTTACATTTAAGGACCTTTGTCACAATACAACTTAAAATAGTAAAAACTTGGAAAGAACTTACTAATAAAAAATCTCCTAATTAAAGTATGGTACAAGTAAATCATTGACTATAATAGAATTATAAAAATTATGTTTTGTTGTTGTTGTTGTTGTTTTTTGAGACAGGGTCTCACTTTGTAGTTCAGGCTGGCTTTGAACTCACTTCATAGCCCAGACTAGCCTCAAACTCACAGCGATCCTCTTGCCTCAGCGTCCCAAGTGCTGATATTACAGACATGCGCCACCACACCCAGCTGAAAATTTTGTTTTCTAAGATTTAATACCATAGAGAAATCATTTGTGAGTTTAAAAAAAAGCAGGACAGAAAATACTATATATTACTGAATTCCAAGTTTAGAAACCAAAATGTAAAAGCTGCATATATTCTACATTATGTGAGTATAAAAGTTAATTTTTTAAAAGTCTAGATTTTTAAATTACAGAATACTTCTCCTCATAAAACAGTGTCAGCTGGGCATGGTGGTATATACCAGTATAACTCCAGAATTCTGGGAGGCTGAGGCAGGAGTATAGCAAGTTTGAGCCCAGTCTGTACGACTCAGTAACTTAGCAAGTCCCTGTCTCAAAATAAAAAATAAAATAGCATAAAATAAAATAAATATAAATAGGCAGAAGATGCACCTCTGTGCAAAGGACCCAGGTTCCATGTCCAATACCATAAACAAAATAGTAAAACAAGAAAGCTTGGTGTCATCTATGTTGAAATTCAGATAATTAAAGACTGAAATATTGGTAAAATAGGGCTGGGGATGCAGCTCAGTGGCACCGCGCCTGCGTCATAAGCACAAGGTCCTGAGTTTGATCCCCGGTACCGAAAATAAATAAATAATATTGGTAAAATACTGGATAATATTTTCTTTGTATTTTTCATAAAATCCTATGTAATCACAAATTATAATCTCTCTTGCCTTCTTTGGAGTCTTCTTACTGAAACCAGAAACATGACTTACATAGATTGCTCTGGTCTGTTTTTTTCATTTTATATTTTATGTTTTATTTTATATTTATATTCATTTTATTTTTTGTTCTGTTTTGGAAGCAAAACTTTTATTGGTACATTTTAGACATAGACAATGATAACATCCCTCATAGGGAATTTGCACCTATACTTGATATTCCCTGTGCATGCACACCGGCAGATGGCCAAGACGCTGGCCTCTAACTGTAGCTCTGGGATTTAATTTTAGATTCTTCTAAGACAGTAGATCCCAAACTCCTGGGTCAGAGACAAAGTTGCTAAGTTGCCCAGGCTGTGCTGGCATTTGTGATCCTCCTGCCTCGGCCTCCCAAGAGCTAGGCTCATAGGCATACACTGCCAATCCAGCTCACAGCCACTGTTGTAATCCCGAGCAGGAGCCAGGCCTTCCCGTCCTCCTGGAGAGAGGAGCCACCCAGCAGCCAGCACTTCGAGCTTTGGAGCAGCCCTGAGAAGTGCCCTGAAGCATGCGGGAACCTCCCTAGCACCTCAGCCCCGGATCTGGGCTGGACTGGGGTTTTGCTTGAGCATCCCATGTGGGTGCCAAACCGTAAGGCTTGGCGGCATCTGAACAGCAAGCAGCCTGTCACCACTTCCAGATGCCAGCTCCTAGGACCTGCAGAGACACCAGGCCAGTGACTCCCTCCCGACAGCTGCTCACTGCACCTGTCACACCTACCCCAGAAGCACTCTGTCCACAGCAACGTTGGTGGAGGAGGAAATGAGAAGCTTCCACGGCCGTACATTTCCTACAGCAGGAGTGTTGCTCTGTTCAAACAGGCGTACGAAGAACAAAACCACCACCGCCAGCAAAAAGCTCTTGCCCGCACCAAAAACACCTGATTATTTGAAAAGAAGGGGAATCAAGGCATTGACTCAAAACATTTCTGAAAATACCAGGAGTTTTTCCTCCATGTATCCTACACTTGCCTTCATTTAGTTAATGAATGTATTTGAAACCCTGCGTGCCCACTACATGGTCAGCACAGGAATAGAGGAATACTCACAGTACTTCTCCCCTAAATAAGACCACAGTCACCTTAACAGGGACTGCACAGGTGAAGGGGTAAGAATGAAAACATGTGGTAAGTAACACTGTTCCGGGACCACAGATGGAAGAACGTCCATCTCTGCTTTGGTCAAGATGGGAATGCTTCCTGAAAGTGAGAGGTAGCAGAATATCTTTTAGAATAAGATATCCTCAGCCAGGCATGTTAGTACATGCTTATAATCCCAGCACTCTGGAGGCTGAGGCAGGAGGATCACCATGAGCTCTGTCTTAGTTACTTTTCTTGTTGCTGAGACAAAACACCCAACACCCAAAGTTAAAGGAGGAGAGATTTATTTAGCTCCCAGTTCATGGAAGTTTCAGTTCATAGTTGGCTGGCTCCAAGGCAGGGTGGTGTGGCAGAGGGGCATCGCAGAGCAGGCAGGCAGGCAGAAGGCAGAGACAACCCTCTTTCCGTCCCTTGTATTCTATCCAGGCTGCCTGTTCTTAGGGAGCAGCACTCACACCCTGCGAGGGCTTTCCCATTTCCACACCCAGAACTATGCTAAACTAACTGGTGGACTGATTTAGTAATTACACACCTTTGATCCCAGCATCACACACTCTAGATCCAGCCACCTCTGAAAAGCCCCACCTATGTCCACATGAGGCTTTGGGGGACATCTAGACACAGGCCATACAAGTTCAAAGGCAATCTGGGCTACATAGTGAGTTCAAGGTCAGCCTGAACTACATAGCAAGACCCTGTCTCAAAACAAACACAAAAAAACCTTAACGGGTTAGAGAACTCACTGAAGATTTTACGAACTAGGACTGACTTATCAGATTGTATTTTAGCAAAACTAGCTGGGTCACAATATGCAGAAAGGTAAAACTAAAGGTAGCTCCACTGCAGTGAGATAATCATAAAAATCCTAACAATAAAGAGGGGAGACTTTCCTCAGGGCCTCCCAGGCGCCAGACATCGCTGTGTGCGTCTGACCGGTCTGAGTCATTTAATCTCCGACCCTACGCGAAGACGCTGTTACCGTCCTCATTTTACAGCGCAGGAACAGGGGCTAAGAGCCAGGACGCCGCTGGGTGGAGGGGTGCTGGGGAGCTTCGGAGGCTGGGGGGCTGACGGGGAGAGAGCAGGATAAGGGAAAACAACAGTCCACAACGATTCCTAGGGCTCCGACTTGTCAACAAGGTAGGCGAGATGTGGCTCAACACGAGCAGTCAGCGCTGGGGTACAGATCTGCCAGGCAATGAGCCACAAAGGCAGGATCTCGGTGAGCACTACTTTAACCAGAGGAAACCAAGGTCCTTCCCTGCCCCAGGGCCAAAACCGTGTTCCTTGGAAAAGGTGTACAGGACATTAACAAAGTTGGTTACTAACTTAATTTCCTTCCTCTTTTTTTTGAGGCCGCATCTTCCCAGAGTGCTCTCCCAGCATCCTCCTGCCTCAGCCTCCCAGCGCTGGGATTACAGGCGTGCTCCTAGCCAATTTTCCGATCAGTTTCAGAGGGGACAGGGCAAGGGCAGAAAGGGGGTGATGAGAACAAGAAGGTTGGAACAGCTGCTCTATAAGGAGTCCCGGACCGGGAAGGGCGCCTCCAGGGTCGGTCCGGGGTGGGTCCGGGGGGCCCGCCGGGGCTGACCAGGTTCCCGGCAGGCTCCTCGCTCTGCTCACCACTGACGACGGTGACGGGCAGGGCGCCCGGCTCCTCGGCGCCTGCGCGCGCCGCCAGCATCCGGGCCACCCGAGCCAGCGCCGCCGCCTGGTCCGCGTTCAGCCTGTGCGCGCGGGCGGTCTCGTCCGCCATCCGCAGCGCGAGGCCCAGGCCGGGCAGCGCGCGCTCCGGGCGGAGGGGGGCCGGCGGGGTGGGGTGCCGCGCTGTCGGAGACGGAGACGCAGGCCTGGGGAGAGGCAGCAAAGCAGAGAAAGATGAGACCTGAGGGGCGGCGCGGGGAGAGGGAATCCGGGGAAACTTGCCCGGAAGTGAAGAGGAAACTGACCGAGAGAACATCGCTCCCGTTCGGGGGCCTACAGTAAGTGAATCGCCTTGTTTCCGTTTTTATAAAGTCTGAATCCACTTCAAACTGAATAAATAACAGAACCCGAGAGATATTTTTTGTTCAGAATTTCACGGTGGTCGTCCCAGCAGTGGGGAGGTTGAGGCAGGAAGAGCGCCGTGAGTTCGAGGCCAGCCTGGGCTACACACAGTGAGACCCTGTCTCAAACCTCCCCCTCAGAAAAGAATTTCACTGTGGTGAAAAAAACAGGGCACTGTAAGATAAATAATAAAACCCAAATTTGGAAACAGAGTTTTTCTATCAGTTTAACTAATATAAAGGGCCTCCGTGTTGAGAAATTATAGGTGAAATACAGGTAATGGCAAAAATAAAATTGATATAGTATTGACATATATGCTGATTAAAGCTGCGAGATGATTATTTTAAATGTTAAATCATGTGGTATAAAAATACAGAACGATAAAAAATGAACATTTGCATGATCCTTTAAAAGTTATCCTTTGATAAAGAGAAAAAAAATGCAACTTATTAGCCAAAACTACAACAAATAAATGAAAAATAATGGATATTCCCTTCATGTTTTATCTGTAAGATTTGCACCGGGCTTAAGCCCAAGGCTGGAGCACGCTGGACAACCGCTCCCTCTGAGGTCCACCCCAGCCCCGTTCTCTCTTTACAGTGAAATACTGACAGACCGCAGTCTCCTAGCCCGAAAGAGAAGGAAACACTGGCAAACTCCATGCAGGTGCGATCTTAAGATTTTCACGTTCCCTTCCAGTTACCATCTTTAACGAGACAACCCAGAGGAGCGACTTACATTGCTAACAGGTGGGGTGTGAGGGGCAGCGTTCCCGGGTGGAGGTGCTCCTGGAGGTTTTTCAGCATGGTCAGCTCGCTGCTGGCGTTACAGACCCACAGTGCGTGGACTACAACTAGAGGAGATGGGAAAATGAGTATCTGAGGTGGACCAGAGAAATGTTCTTGCAACTCAAGGCTCAGCTGCAGAATTGCATGAGCCAAGGTAACCTTTCAAGGCCTGCTGGAGACCTCGAAGTTTCCTGAATCATTCCTCAACCTGTCTGTCACCCTCTCCATGAGCACCACAAACAGCCCCATGAGCCAACCTGGACTTCTACTCGTCCTGGCTGGATGGCACCCATTTCTGAGTCTGAGCACGGAAGCCAGCATGGCAGCTGGCAACGCTCCATAGTCAGCACACCACCTGCACTGTATGGCAGTGTCTGCATAATTTTTAAATATTTAATGCATTTCTTTTAGTTTATTAAAATATAGATAAAACAGAAAATTAGAATGCTGATATCAGGAAGGAAACAGCTGCAACAAATATGAAATAACCATATGAAAGCAACAAATGTTTACTTAGGCTTTGGTTAAACTCAAGCTGCTTTACTAGGTTTATTTAATTAAAAACTAAAAGATCAGAAGGACATATGACATATTAGAAATGTGTCATTAAATGCTGTGTCTTTAACAGAAATCAAAATGTATATAGAAGTCCACAGATTAGAGAACTAGATAGGGATTCAGCTTAATAATAACAGTTTCTTTGTTAAAAGAAAAATAAGGTGGACAGCTTGTCTTATTAAGAATTTCTCGCCAGGAAGGATGGTGGCACACGCCTGTAATCCCAGGACTCGGGAGGCTGAGGCAGGAGGCTCTCCATGTGTTCAAGGTCAGCCTGGGCTACATAGTGAGTTGAAGGAAAGCCTGGCATACATAGTGAGACCCTGCCTCAGAAAAACAAACACATCAGGGCCAGGGATGTAGCTCAGTAGCACTGCGCCTGCCTGGCAAGTGCAAGGTTCTGAGTTCGATCCCTGGTACCAAAAAAAAAAGTATACCCAAAACTGAAAATTTCCAAGACCTCTCAATGTAAAAATGAACTGTTTAATACACGTACCTTCAAATAAACCAGGAGAGTTAGAACTTGGTTAAGAAATCATCTGGAAAATCTAATTTATAGTGTTTAATCTTTGTTCCTTTCTTTTTGGCACTTGGGATTAAACTTGGGCCTTCCTTCACTCTACACTACACCTCCAGCCCTTTTTCCCCCTTCTTTTTTTTTTTTTTTTTTTTTTTTTTGGTACCGGGGATCGAACTCGGGTCCTTGTGCTTGCACAGCAGGTGGCGAAACCACTGAGCTAAATCCCCGGCCAGTGCTTATATTTTAAAAAGCCACAGGTATACTGTATAAAATTCAATTTTACAAAATACCTAAGTGATGGCTCAAGATTTCATAGTACTGTCGGCCCTGTGGGACATGAGCTGCAGAAGCTTTTCTGTGTTCAACTGTCGTGCCCGTTTCAGGGACACTGCGCACAGCAGAGCCCTGGCGGGCGCTCTCACTGAAAGAAACCAACAGCCCACCTGGTGCTCCAGCTCCCACACATGCCCAGCCCGCTGCTCTCCGGGAGCCAGGAGGACGGTCGTGTACACTCACCGTCGGTGGGCCAGCGGGATGGGAAGTAGCCTTTCAGAGGCAGGATCTCCACCTCGTTGGCAGAAGATGGGCCGAAGAAAGTGCTGCATCCAATGAACGTGTCTAGTTCAAAGTCCAGGGTTTTTGAAATCACCCAGAGATCACCTGAAAGGATAAACATTTCCCAGCTTTCCTGCAGGAGGAGCAACAAGTGAGCAACTGAATGCCGTTGGTGTGCAGCACGTACTGCCAGGCGCACAGCACTGGGGTGCTGGGGTCACGGCCGGGGCCTCGGCTCTGTCAGAAGCACAGAGGTCCCACTGAGCCACACCCCAGCCCCCACGGTGTTTTGTACATGTCGCCCTTCTGTTACGATCCCCACACTTGGCTGATCAGCGTGGCCTTGCCTGACAGTTACCCTGTCATGTTCAGATGCTGAGAACTGTTAAGATCTATTCCCTTTGCAGATTTCAATACACAACACTTTTGGGGGGGTTCCTGGGGATTGAACCTAGGGCCTTGTGCAGGTGAGGCAAGTACTGTGCCACTGAACTACATCCTAGCCCTTTTTATACTTATTTTGAGACAGGATCTTTCAAAGTTGCCTGGGCTGGGCTTGAACTTGTGATCTCCTGCCTCAGCCTCCCAAGTAGCTGGGAATACAGGTGTGTGTCAATATGCCCGGCATGAACCCATTATCAGTAGCTACAGTTACCTGCTCTACAGTACGTTACCAGAACTTCATCGTACCTGAAGAGTATTCTTCAACCCCCATTCCCTCCACCCTCTGGATCCAGCCACCACCATTCTGCTTCTCTGGACTCAACTACCTTAGGTTCACAGGTGTGAGGAGGCCTCGTGCTGAGTTCTGATTCGCATCTGCCTGACGATGGCGATGCCAAGCTCCTTCCCACAGACCTAGGCCCAGCCTCGCCTCCTCCTGGGGAAATGTTTATTGAGCTCTTTGCCATCTTCCAGCCAGGCGATCTGTTTTCTTGCGGAGCTGCCTGAGATCCTTGTAGAGCGTGGGCACTAGCTGCTTATCAGACACATGGTCTACAAATACTTCCTCCCTCCCCACAGGCTGTCCCTCACTCTCTTGGCTGCATCCTTTCCAGGGCACATGCTCTTAGTCTGATGAATCCCTTGTCTTTGTGTGTGTGTGCACAAGTGTGCATGTGTGTGTTGCTTCGAAATTGAGCAGACAATGAAAGATGTATTGATGACAAACTTACTACACTTTCCAGCTTATTTTCTATAACAAGTCAGAGTACAGTTGAATCAATATTCTTACTTATACGATGCCAAGAACTTAGTGTGACTTTTTAATAAAAAGGCCTTGGTATTCTTGTACTAAAAGTTTTTAAAAGCTCAAAAAAATTAAGATATGCTTTTAGAAATGATATAATTTATTAGACTATAGTTTATTATATATAGTACTACTAAACCATACTTCTAAAATTCTCTTAAATATAAAGAATTTACAAAGCTGTATATCTTTATTTGGCTGTATGTAATTGAATCATCAACTAACCTTTGCTATAGGTTGAAGAACTTTCCCTCCGACTCAGCTTAAGATATAGTTTGCTTTTGGGTTCACTGTGATATTCAGGATTTATAGTAGTAAACTTCTTTAGTTTGCCATACTGTTTTCTCTGAAAATCAAATCCTTTTCTGAAAACAGAATAAAAAATAAAAATAAACATGAATTTCAACCAGGCATGGTGGTGCACACCTATAATCCCAGCACTCTGGGAGGCTGAGACAGGAGGATGGCAAGTTTGAGTGCAGCCTGGGCAATTTAATGAGAGCCTGTCACAAAAGGGCTGGGAATGTAGCTCAGTGCAAAGGCCCTGGTTCAATCCCCGATAGGAAAAAAAATTTGGCTATGAAGGTACATTTCGTGCCTGTGCACTTGTGTGTGTTTGTGGGTGGATGGGTGCGCAGTACCACAGCTTCAACCCAGGGTCTCTCACGTGCTAGGCCAGCACAAGACTACTGAGCCACACCCAGTCCAGCCCTTTTTCCTTGATCTTGAGATGGGCTCGCCAACTGCCAGGCTGGCCTTGAACGCTCAATCCTCCTCCACCTCCCTGTGTGGGATTCTGGCCCTGTACTAATGCTCCCAGCCAGTTTTTAGAAACCTTTACAATACAGCAGGGAAAGGAAAAAAACAAATACATGTTTATATATTTTCATACATGTATACAAACTATAAATATATTCCATCAAAGAAAGAAAATGGAGCCGGGGATTTAGCTCAGTGGTTCCAGCACCTGCCTCGCAAGCATAAGGTCCCGAGTTCGGTCCCTGGTACCAAAAAAAAAAAAAAAAGAAAGAAAGAAAATAACAACCCTCACAGAATTGCCTTAGTTTTACCTGGTCCTGCAACCTCAGCACCCTAGGAAGCTGAAGCAGGAGGGTTGGAGGTTCAAGCCCAGCCCAAGTAATTTATGGATTTAGCAAAGGCCTTGTCTCAAAAAGTTAAGAGGGGCAGGTATAGAGCTCAGTGTGAAGGCCCTGAATTCGATTCCCAGTGCCAAAGCGGGGCGGGGGGGGGGGGTGTCATTAATCGTAAAAGAGAGAGCAGTAGGAAAAGTATCTAAAAGACAGAACATCTAGTTTCTACAACTGTGAGGTGAGAATGATAACTCACCCCCATTGTGTCCCTAGCCAGCGGGTTACTGTGCCAATTACTTGAGATGGCATAAAGTGCCGAGGAGACAGTGTGGCACCCGTAAGCTCCCACTGTGCAGTAATCACATCACTATGCCATGCTCACTCAGTCACCAGAAGTTATCCCATCTATAACACAGCAGCATCCCGTCCCACAGGCTACAGAGCTCAGCCCAGAACAGTCACCTACCTGCTACCTGCTAAAGGCGACCCCGTGGTTTGTTCAGTGGTTTCCCTTAGGGTTGGGAAGAAGAGCCCTGACCACACAGCAGAGCGGTTAGGAAGGCAACTGCCAGCCAGCCATCCTGAGACTGCTGAGCCACGACGCTTAGAGGGCCTCTGTTTCCTTATAGCAACTGGGAGATACCTGTCCTGTCTCCACCCCCTCCACACCTGCAGTAACTTGACTCGGGGCGCTGCCCTCTGGTGTAATCACAGGCAGTGACTGGGCACCATGACACACACCTGACCAAAAGCTGGCACTCCTCGTAGACCGGGACCTTCTGACTGCGCAAGTAGGAGCCGATGCCCTTCACACCACTCAAAACCACACTGGGTGGAGATGCTTCCTGTGTGGCCCGGCCTGGCATCACCTCCAGCCACTGCTCGGCTTTGGGTCTGTCGCATGCATAGAAGAGACAACCCTATGGTTGAACAGATATTAAAATTTAGGGCTGGGGTGCAGCTCAGTGGAGAGCACTTGCCTAGCAGGCATGAGGTCCTGGGCTCAATCCCTAGAAATGGAAAAAAACTAGAAGACTAAAAAAAAATTTAATGAGAAAATGTTTATAGCTTTTGTGTTGTCAAGACTTTCCATAAAGAGTGCTCGTCATTAATGCAGTCTAGTAAATTAGTACCAGACAACTGAATGTTGTTATGAATTTAATGAAATCTAAAACCACCTACTTTTCCATTATTTTTACTTTGTCAAAAGAGATTTCTTATTCTGAGAATGAAAGCTTTTGTGAAAATAACAGTAAGTTAAAATGTGTTGTTTCTCTGATTCACTGGAAAAAGTGTTCACTTAACAACTTGAAATCTAGCTAGAAACAACTCCAAGCAACACCTGCACATTTCTTTCTGTCCTTCTTCCTCACACAGCGCACAGGCACACACTTTTTAAAATAAAATTCAGTTAATGATCCATTTTCTGCTCTAGCCCTATACCAACATCCTGTGCACATGCAGCCATCTCATCAAATAATCTTGAAAACAACGTGACGTTTGGCTGTAGAAGCTTCACTGTCTAGCTAGGCTATTGCTTAGGAATGCTTGCTGACAACTAAATCTCTTCTGTGGTTTCTGACACAGGATCTTGGTATGTCGCCCAGGGTGGCCTTGAACTTGCGGTGATCCTGCCAAGTGCTGGGATTAGAGGCATGCAGCACCACGCTGGCTGACAACTGAATTTAAAGTCGCGTTTATATATTTGGTGAGAGACAGGGTTGCACAAGCATGGCAGGCGGGACAGTCTGAGTGGGCGCAGGGGTGCACGAGCTCCCTGGCCAGCGGCATTGTCACTCGGCAGGGCCTGTGTCGCTCTCAGTGAGGGCTGCCTGCTGGCCCAGCTGCAGCCTTCACTTGGCTTTCAGTTTCTGGTACCAGTCCGTGCTGCAGTCACAATGGCCCCACTCACTGTGGGGAGTGGGAGTCTGCCTGCACCCAGCCTGCTCCGCTCTCTTCTCCCAGGCTCGTCTCTCATTTTTCAGCCCGCCTTGCGGTGCACTGTAATGTGACACAGCTCTCCTGCCTTATCAGTTCCAATAGGACATAAGAGTTTCTTTTCTGTGTCTCTCTCTGTCCACTGCTATGCAATGAGCTCTTTTTTGTTACTGACTTTGGAGGTTTTTTGTTTTGCTTTTTGGTTAAGACATGGTCTCACTATGTATTACAGGCTGGCCCTGAACTTGCAGCGATCCTCCTGCCTCAGCCTCCTGAATGCTAGATTATAGGCATGGGCCACCATGCCTGCCTGTCCTCAATTTCTGTTTTTTGACAATTCTTTGCTCTCAGTACTGGAACTTGAGCTAGGGCTTCACGCATGTAAGGCAAGCGCCCTCCCACTGAGCTACACTCCAGCCTGTGAGCAACCTGAAGGCTGATCTGAACTCATGTTTTTGTGGCCTAGAACACAGAGCACTCTTTTCATAAAAGCAGAGTGTTCTTGCATATTAGCTAAGAGGGTGCTAACCCAGTCTCCCTCACTCAGCCTGCTACGAAGCAAGGGCAGATTACCCAGGACCAGGACCAGCACAAGCACGGGGCGGGCGGGAGGGAGGCAGGCGCCATACCTGACTCAGGCCATCCTTCCGAGCCGTGGCGAGTCTCGCCGGCTGCCTGTCCTGGCAGGATGGCAAGCCGTCTTCCAAGGTCCCCAGCTTCCCTTCTTTCAGTGATGTGGAAAGAGTGCTGTGCAGCCTCTGTGCCAACCCAAACAGCAGTATGTTCAGGTGTTCTACAGAGGAGAAGGGGAGGGAGAGAGAAAGTGATCGCGTTCGTATCTCATGCATGCTCTCTGCTGGCAGAGCGTCAGAGCAGTCCTCGAAGACTCAACCAGAACACAACACTTTTTTAAAGATGATTTTGCCCTTGAACCTCCAAACGTTGAGATCTAGTTATGCATCATTCTTAAAATTTTCCACTTAACAGTGTCATTTGTAACACTTCTATTTTAAGTTTGTTTCTTTGTTTGTTTTGGTACCGGGGATCAAACTCGGGTCCTTGTGCTTGTGCAGCAGGCAGCGAAACCACTGAGCTAAATCCCCAGCTGTAACACTTCTATTTTAAAAAATGAAAACAGGGCCGGGAATTTAGCTCAGTGGTTTTGCTGCCTGCTGCACAAGTGGAAGGACCCGGCTTCGATCCCCGGTACCAGTCATTCAATCAATAAATCAATAAAACAGCCAGGCACGGTGGCAAAGGCCTGTAATCTCAGCATTCTGTGAGGCAGAGGCAGAAGGATTAAAAGTTGGAGACCAGCATCTGAACAGTTACCATCAGAAACTAGAGCAAACATGGAAAATCCACCTCAAGCGGAGAATGTGGTACAAAAATTCGTAACATATCCCACTTTCCCATAGCCGTGCTACATTAGCAACAGCGGTAACAACACAGAAACCCAGCAGCCGTACCCGTGATGCAAGACGAGAAGGTCTGCCGATAGTGGGCGGCGGACGAGAACACCGCGGGCACCCGACTCCGCCTCCGGGGCAGAGGCGCGGATCTCAACCTCTGCCCACGGGGGAAGCGCAACTCAGAGCAGCTTATCTCCTGCAAAGGGAGGATTCGAGCCGAGCGCCTGGTAAAAGCTCCAGAAAGACCCCGCCCCTGACCGCGTACTGTCCCCCGATATCGAGATCGAGATCTTGCAGTGTGTTAAACTAACAACGAGCCAACCAGCAACACGGACTCGCAGTTAAAACTGCGAACAAAACAGCGGAAGAGGCGGCGGGAGCCGGAGTAGGGGCCGGACTGGCAGGCGCTGGGCCCACTGACCTCTAACCTTGGGGTCCAGCCGTGGCACAGCAGGGGACAGGGCTGCGGCCGGCCGGTCTGGGCTCAGCGAGCGGCGTGCAGCTGGAAGGGCCCGGAGGGCGGTCGCTCACCTGCAAGCCCTGCCCGGGGAGCGGGTCCTGCTGCGGGCTGCGGAGGGGCCCGGTCACCTGCACGTGCGCGCCGCCGCCCGGAGGGGCCTCGCTCGTCGGCCCCGCAGGCGGCCCAGGCGCGGTCCCGGACGTGGAGGAGCGCGGCAAGGGCTTCCGGCGTCTCGGCCAACTGCTCCTGCTCGGCGGGGATCTGTTCCCGGTCAGGGAGTCACCGCCGGGCGCTGCGCCCCGGGCCCGGGCCTCTGCTGGAGAGGGAGCTGCGCCTCGGACCTTAGGCGCCCAGCTCCGACTAGGAGAAGCCGTGGGAGCTTGGCCCTCGCTGGACGTGGGGCACCCGGTGGGCTCCTGCGGGGCACAGCTGACCCCAGACCAGGGCCGTGAGGGGTCTGGCGGTCCCTCGGCGGGAGGCAGAGGAGCACGGGGGACCGGGGCTTTGCTTTCTAATGGGAACCTTTGGAAGTCTCTGTTCTCCAGCGAACTAAATCTTTTCATTCCTGAAAGAAAACAGTGCAGACTCAATAAAAACTCAATGCAGACTCAATAAAAACAATGCAGACTCAATAAAAGAGCAGGCATGCCCCAGCTCTGGCAAACAGTGGGATTGCATATAACAGCAAGAGAACCGACTTGCCCTGCAAAAACAAAAACTGCATTGTATCTCCTTTCAAAACATTAATAGTTTTAAATTTCAAAAACCAAAAATTTCTGTCTGGTGTGGTGATGCACACCTATAAACCCAGGACTCAGGGGGCTGAGGCAGGAGGATCACTGTGAATTCAAGGTCAGCCTGGGCTGTCTCAAAAAACAAAATAAATAAATAAGGATTTTAAACCTTATTGATTTTCAAACTTCTAAAATGCTGATAAATTTGAAGGTTCTCTCTTTTTTCTTTTACTACTTAGCTATGTAAAGATTTATTCCAAATTGCTACGTTATATTTACGTAGCACCTAAGTTTTCAAAGCATTTTCAGGCCAGGAAAAGATGCATCATTCTCATTTTAAAAGTGAAATGACAGCGACCAGAGGTGACAGCTCTGGCAAGCAGCAGAGTCAGGCCAAAGACCCAGTCCAGTTTGTTGATATCATCTTTCTATTCCTTCTCCAGAGACTGAAGTTCATGGTTTGCTGATGACTATGTGACTGTTAACTCCCTTTACATACTTATTACATTCAAGAATCATGTCACCCTCAGTGCAAAGATTTTAGCTTTTTTGATCTTTTGGCATGTAGGAAGAATACATTTCTGGTAAGCTGGAGGAAGATACCGTCTGAGGAGTTTTCTAATTCTCTCTGTTAGCAGCTTTGGCATAGAGATCCCTGAAATGTAATAAGCCATAAATATCCATTGAATATATAAATGAACAAATAATGCTGCATGAAAACTATGCAAGCTTAAAATTTTTATCTGAAAATGCTATGGATTCCTATTCTATAATAATGCACCTTCCTGACAACATTTCTGTTTTGTGGTAAATAAACTCAGGAGATCCTTTAAGAAGTAGCAGAGCGGCAGGTGAACCAAATGTTTTCTATAAAGTGCTACATCGTAATTCTAATAATTTGATCAAGCAACACTGACAGAAAAGTTAAAGCTCCAATAAAGAAGTAAAAGATTCATAGCAAAACTGAAAATCACTTATTATTCTACAGCCATTTTACTTGTTTTAGGGTACCTACTCCTCCCATCCTGACTCTTTACACTCATTACACCATTTCCAACCCAATTACCTATTCTTATTAAAATTCTTTTCATTTTTATATCATTCAGCCACAACCACAACATATTACCTATAATCTCAGCCCTCACCCAAAATAACTTCGGAATCAAAGACACACCAGTGAGATTATAAGAAAAGAGAACAGAGAGGTCAGAAGACAGAATCCTGTAGCATGACTACTGCATTTATCAAAAAGCAGGAGATGACCTGTAAGGACAAACCAACAAGTAGGTGCATTGGGCAGCCTTCCCGCTGCTGGGACACAAGACACAATACCTGACACCCACAATTTAAAGGAGAGGTTTGTTTTGGCTCATGATTTCAGAGGATTCAGTCCGTGGCTGCCTGGCTGAAAGGCAGGAACATCATGGCGGAAGGGTGTGGCAGAGGAAAGCGGCTCTCACCCCATGGTACCCAGGGAACCGAGCAGAGGGGAAGAGAGGTGCGAGGAAGGCAGCGGTGGTTCCCAGGTCACACCCCCATGACCACTTCCTCCATCCTGGCCCAGCCAGCTTGGAGCTCCTCATGGGCAGGGTTAATCCCTGAGGAGGGGCGTCCTCACCATCCAATGCCTCCCCAGCAGTCTCTCAATCCAGTCAAGCTGACAGCTGAAACCCCGGGCACCATATGAGAACACTGAAGCTGAAGAGCAGAAATGACCCCAGAGTACAGAGGGGAAAGGCAGAGGTCAGACTCCAGGCCCTGAGGGTATGGCTGAGACCTCTGCTAGGGGCCATTCCTCAGGAAAATAGGACACCATGGGGGGGTTCGGGCTCTGGGGCAGCAGCCAAGAAGAGTACAGATGGGAGAACCCACTTTCAGAGGGATGGGAAGAGAAAGCTGGGAGATGGAGGAAGGAAGTGGGAGTCAGAAGGACATTTCAGACCCAGAATAGCTGTCCACAAAAGTCAAAAGGTATGGGGAGGCTCGGAGGGAGGTGACCCAGAATCTGGGGCTAAGATCATCTCAGTGTGGTTCATCTCTAATTAAGAGTCACGCTGCCTAGATGGACAGATTAGAGCAGTGCCCTCACCACTACCCCCCAGCCAGGAAAGCGGTCACCAGGTAACGTTCTTGCTCTCAGGGACTCCTCAGAGACTTCTACCGTGAAGTCTTCGTGCCTTGAGTCCAAAGGGCGGAGTGTAGAGATCCTCTCTTCTGGGGAAGCCACCTATCCAGAAAGAGGAGACAAATCACAGAACTAACTCTTAGTGCCTTCTTTCCTTACTGTTTAAATGCATTCTAGTCATCTCTAGTTTTTAAAAAAATTATCTCAAGCCAAGTGCAATGTACATCCCTATAATCCCAGTTACTGAAGAAGCTGAGGCAGGAAGAACAAAAGTTCAAAGCCGCCTGAACAATTTAGCAAGACCCTGTCTCAGAGAATAAAAAGGGCTGGAGACATTGCCCTGGAGCAGTGTCCCAGGGTTAGACCCTACCCGCTAAATTATTTCAAACATACTATGCAGAGCTATGGTAACAGCAAAGAACTATAAAGCTTCTTTCAAAAGGACAGGATAGGGTAATTTCCCCAAAATCAACAAGAATAACGAAATATACAGAACGTAAGGCCTCTGTGTTTAACTGAAATGGGCCAAGTTTTCTCTGACTCATCGGAGCTCCGAAGGCCTCGTTCTTGAGATCAGCTTCCATCCTGCGGGCTCGGGCCAGGCCAGTCTCCATGTCTGCATCTGTGGGCCTCAGTTCTTGCTCATATAAGAACTCAGCAGTTTCTCCTCTGTCCTTAGTCTGGGTTCATTTACACTCGATCTGAATTCAAGATACTGCTCTCAAAGGATGACTTTTTAAGCATATCCCAGACCTGAACAGCCACACGATTCACCACTGTTCTCATCAGAACAGAATTTAAATTTGCTGGGGCTTCTTCCACAGTTTAATCATCTCAAACCATAACATGATGAGCACATTTAATATATATGTTTGCATATGCATAAAGGAATGACATTTGGAAGACTTCTCACCAAACTAAGTGGTTCTTTTTTTGAGGGGAGCCTAGCCTTGAACTCACTATGTAGCCCAGGCTAGCCTCAAACTCATGGCGATCCTCCTGCCTCAGCCTCCCAAGTGCTAGGATTATAGGTGTGTGCCACCACACCCCTCTCAGATTATTGTTCAAAGTTCAGAGACTACTATATGATGGCAACCTGTTGTACTTATTCCAAAATGCATTTATGTCTCTTGGAAGATCTAATCACTTTTCTTGAAAACATTTTAACAGACTCAAGATATATAACATAGGACCATAATTAATAGATGTGAAAAATTAGAAATAAAGCAAATGGACATGTTTCTTTTTCGGTGTAGAACAGTCTAATTTACTCTTCTGTAAGAAAACACAGGGAATAAGAAACAGAAACTCCATCTTTGATAAAACTAAGAAACAATGGCAAGGCGTGGTGGTGCACACCTGTAATCCTGGCACTCAGGCGCTGCAGCAGGAGATCACCTGCAGCAGGAGATCATCGTGAGTTCAAGGCCAACCTGGGCTACACAGTGAGTTTAAAACCAGCATGAACTACATAGTGAGATCCTGTCTCAAAAAAAGTTTAAAAAATTAGAAAAAAAAGAAACTAAGAAACAATAGTAACCACAAATAACAATGTAGCACTGACAGGATGGCAAAACAGTCTGTACTTGGCACCATGGAGGACATCAAACTGAGTTCCCACTACAGGAAAGCTCATATGAAACCAACGGCCCTGCCCTCCAATCATAAAAAGCGGAGAAACTGGAAGCCCCAAGCTCGCTTGAGGTTCTGAAAGCAGGTGCAATGGGCTGTTCTGAACCTACACATGCCACCAAATTCAAATCTCTGATAAAATATTCTTATTTTATATAGTCTGAGTTGAGATGTTATGCTTCCTGTCAGTTTACTCCTGTATTCCTTTTGTACGGAGACGTAACTATAGTCTCTATAAAATTTAGTACCAACACAGAGAAAGTGACTTGGCAAAATGCATCCCAGAAAACACTTTACCTGTGAGAGGTGGGTCTGGCCCCGCACACTGGCGAGCTCGGGCCGCAGGAAGCATCCGTTTGCCAGGAGGTCTTCGCACTCAGTGCTGTCTGGAAACAGACTGCATTGAGGCCGTGAGCTGGGGCTTCTGATCATCACGCCACTGCTAGCTGAGCCTGTCACTTGGTGGCCTAGAAACTCAACGGGCTGAAGGCAAATTATTAAAAATCACATAAATATACAGTGACAGATATATTCACAACGCACAGAGACAATAACACACAACTCAGCTTTGCATTAAATATTACTTAATGTAAATCATTACCAAAGGACTTATGCTGAAAACCAGGAAATACTCTTCTTATCCAAAAGTCATCTGTATGTGTGAGGCAGTTTTCACTATTAGTCAAGGCTGCTCTTGAACTCACTGTGTAGCCCTTGTACTCATGGCAATCCCCCTGCCTCAGCCTTTACTGGGATCACAGGTGTGCACCACCACACCCGGCTTCATCTTATTCAAGAATGAAGATTCTAAGCCACATTTGAAAGGAAAATCAAATCTACATGTCCTTTTATATAGAAATTTTATTGAAAATGTTTTTCTGAATTTAAAAGCATATAAATTTCAATGAAAACAAATCTCAGCCATGAAAGATTCTGTACATTTCTGCTCTTTTCACTGGGGACTATGGGTCCTCACAGGAAAGCAGATGCTACACAGAATGGGTGTGCTGGGTTTAAGAACAGAAGCAACCATTTCCACGCCGTGGTCTCTGCCACTTCCTGATGTATAGGATGGGACTACTTAGAGCTTGGGCAATGCATATTGCTACATTCCCAGTCTGAAGGACAAGTGATGGGGTAGACTATGCATGAAAGGCTATAAAGATCTGTAGTCCCAGCACTCTCGAGGGCTGCAGGACGACTCAAGCTGGGCAATTTAGTAAGAACCTGTCTCAAAATAAAACATAAAAAAGGACTGGGGATATAGCTCAGTGTGAAGGTCCTGGGTTCAATCCCCAGCACTGGGGGAAAAAAAAAAGCTTGGCTTGCCTCAGAACACTCATTAATTATATTCATGTGACTTTGTGTCCAACACCTATCACATCGTATGTATGGATGTATACTGCGTACGCCACAATATTAGCTCATTGATAGTACAGAGAGGTTCACAACCAAAAAGGAAGAGCTAGAAATTATTAGTTTCTCTTATTCATAAAACCAGGCTAACTTATTATGTTCCCTAATCTGCCCGTGAAAACACTAATACTTGTGTTAAACACACCCACAGACAGCAGGAGAGAAGGAGGGAAGGAGGGAGGGAGGGGGAGGAGGAGGGGGAG